AGCACACTGTATCCTGTCCCCTCATGCACAGCCATTAGCCCTGCCTTCTTAGTAAGCCTTAGCACGGCCTCTTGACTGCAGATAGGAGGAGGATTATCTTTCCCTTTCAGTGCATCCTGAAGTTCATTCTGGGAGCCAAGGTTTCATTCTCCCAGTGCCATAGGTTTAGGTCCAGACCACCTAAAAGACATTATGTGGCTTCCTGACACGATGCCACGTACAACCAGGAGACCCACCACAATATTCCCAGAGTTCACTTTGTTCCTCTTGCTCATAGATAAAAGTTTTGCAGTCTACAAGTTACCAAGTAGCAAATTATCCTGGCTGCAGCCAGGGCTTTCTCTTGGCATTTGCAAGGGGTATGAAAGCAAGGAATTCTCCTGTTCCTGAGAAGGATACTCCACAGCCTCTCTGGGCAGCCTGTTCCACTGCTCTGTCACCCTCAAAGTAAAGAAGTTTTTCCTCATGTTGAGATGGATTTTCCTGTGTTCCAGTTTGTGCCCATTGCCCCTTGTCCTGTTGCTGGGCACTACTGAAAAGAGTCTGGCTCCATCCTCTTGACACCCATCCTTTAAATATTTCTAAACATTGATGAGATCCTCTCTGTCTTCTCTTCTCCAGACTAAACAGACCCAGGTTTCTCCCCCTTTCCTCATAAGAGAGGTGTTCTATTCCCTTGATCATCTTCATAGCCCTCCGCTGGACTCGCTCCAGTAGTTCCTTGTCTTTCTTGAAGTGGGAAGCCCAGAACTGGACACAGTAATCCAGATACAGCCTCACCAGGGCAGAGTAGAGGGAGAGTATAACCTCCCTTGACCTGCTGGCCACACTTTTTAATGCACCCCAGGATACCACGGGTCTTCTTGGCCAGAAGGACACATTGCTGACTCATGGTCAACCTGTTGTCCACCAGGACTCCCAAGTCTCTCTCTGCAGAGCTGCTTTCCAGCAGATCAACCCCTAACCTGTACCGGTGCATGGGGTTTTTCTTCCCTAGATGCAGGACCTTACACTTGCACTTGTTGAGCTTCATTAGGTTCCTCTCTGCCCAACACTCTAGCCTGTCCAGGTCTCGCTGTATGGCGGCACGGCCTTCTGGTGTGTCAGCCACTCCTCCCAGATTTGTGTCACCAGCAAACCTGCTGAGGGCACACTCTCTCCCCTCATCCAGGTCATCGATGAATATGTTGAACAATACTGGACCCAGTACTGACCCCTGGGGAACACCACTAGTTACAGGCCTTCAGCTAGACTCTGCGCTGCTGATCACAACCCTCTGAGCTCTGCCATTCAGCCAGTTCTCAATCCACCTCACTGCCCACTCATCTAACCCTGACTTCCTAAGCTTACCTATGAGGATGTTGTGGGAGACAGTGTTTCCCAGTGATCCATTCTGGTCCTGACTCCTATAATCTCAAAGCTTTTTGTACACATTCATTAGTAGGACATTTGCAATCAGCCAGGAAAAATAACTTGTTGACTTGACTACTATGGAAAAGGGACTATTATTTAACTTGAGCCGACCTAACTAATGGATGTAGCAGGAGGAAGAAAAGAGCCATCTTCTGAGCACTGCTCATCTTCTGTCTTAAATATTTATCTTGAGGTTTGATAAATTCTTCCAGTGGCTGTAGACAGAGCACAAATTATTCACTTTTATTAGATGCCTGACTTTTTGACAACTAAAGTTAGGTGAGATGAAATCAACTCTGAAGCTGTAGTGAATAACATGATAACTTGTTTCCTCTGTATTCGTTATGGCAGGAGCTTTGTTCACTACGATGTTCAGGTGAAGGCAGTCAGCAGGCACTAGCACGAAAATTACTTCAATGTATTGCTGGTGCAGACCAGGAAAGCTGCATCCTAAATCTACTAGCTAGTCTCCCAAACATGAAAAATATGAAAATTGTTCAACTTTTTCTAGAGCCTTTTCTGTTTACTTTGAATACTTGCAAGTTGTTTGTCTTTTGACAGAGTGCTCTGTCCTTAATGAAGTAGCTAAAGGAGAGAACCATGATCCTAAATTCAAATCACCTCATATAAAACTTCAAAGCTTTCGTTTCATCGTTGCTGGGCACATGCAGCACTTATCTTTAGCAAAAGCAAGCAAAGCTGCAAACTTGATTCTTCTGCAAAGGAATATAAGGCTTTCTGTAGTCAGTACCTAAGCTCTGCTGAATTTTCCTACTGAAAAGCCTTTTGCCTGGGTGAAGTTGGAAATTCAGATGATCTTGTGTAGGCTTGTTGCCAGTGTTGCCAATACAGCTTATTCTGATAGCTGTATTATTAGCAGTACCAGTTGAAGTGTTGATGTTCCAGTATGGTGCTGCCATTTACTCGCCTCTTTCAGCAGCCGATTGCTCAGGTAAACCCACAGTCTCTGTGGCATTCAGAAGTATATGCTAAATAATGCATTGTACAGCTTAAATCTCTTCTCTCTCATCTGCTAACTGGCTTGTCTCCCCAGGACACGGTGGAATATGCTAAGTCACTAACTACAGGATTTTGGTCAAAAATAGTCTTCTCTTTCTCCTCTCTAATCAGGAGTGGCCAGCGTGTGGCTTTTGAGCTGCCTGAGGCTTGTGAACTGTTCGAGTACGTTTGCCAAGGCAGGGCTGCCTTCCTGGCTGCGGTCTGGAGGGAGTCAGCAGAAACTCCTGACGGAGGCATTGCTGTAATTGCCTCGGGGACCCACTTATGCAACCGATTAACCCCAGCCCCATCCGGCAGTGGAGTAATGTAATGAGACCCTTTGGGAATCACTGCCGCCTCCCTCCTAGGAACAGCTACGGCAGCTCTTCTCTCCATGACCCTCCAAAATATGGGGAAGGGGTTTTACAGTCCTCAGCCGTATAAAATGCAAGCATGCAGCTTGCAAGGTTTGTAAGCATCAGAAGAAGTGATAGTCCTACTTTGGGGGCAGCTTTCTAGTTAAGGAAATATCATAGTGCCAAAGACCATTAAATTTAAAATTATGACACTTTTTGTAGAAAAGGCACAGGTCTGTGTGTATGGATGCATTTGCGTGTAAAATGTAGAAGCTCTGAAGATACATGGCTGGTAAAGGGGAACAGGAATCCGAACCATCTCTACAATGCAGATGGGTAACAGGAGGGCAAAACAAGGAGAGCCATTTCTTAGGCACAGCACAAAGATGATCTGCTCCTGTAAGACGGGCAGTAAGATAAATACATGTTAAGCAAGCACTCGTAAGCACAGTTTCCTTTCTGTTGCTGGGCAGCCTGTGGCTACAGAGGGCAGAAGCTGTTCTCTTGTTTTCCTGCCTACCCTCTCCTCAGCGCATCTTCTCCTTAGTGGGAGGCGTTTGTTGAACTTCTTTGATTTCTAGTTTCCGACTGTCACTGCGAACAGCTGGGGAATACAGAGATTCTTCTCCTGCCTGCCTCTTTTCATAAGTTCTCCAATTAGCTGCTCGCTCTGAGGCCAGACCATACTATTTTTCTGCGGAAACTGGCAGGATGGCTTGTGAACATTTAAAAGGGAAAGCACCTCTCCAGTAATAAAGATCCTTTTGCTCTCCTCCTTCAAAACTCAGTTGAGTAAGCAGAAGTTGGGACGTTTTATACTCTGTTTTTTACTGAATAGCAAGTTTCCAGGAAAAGCTGTGAGAAAAAGATCAGATGAATTCAAGTTACTTTTCTGCTCCCAGATACACCTGCCAGTACCTAGCTCTGTGATAAATTAGTTCAATATTTAAATGCAGTGACTGCTTTGCAAGACCCTCCCTGACACTTTGGTTTGACTGTAGGCACTAGTTATCTGATATTCCACCTTCAATATGTTACCTAGTTGTTGGAGGATTTCCAATGCATATGATTTTGGTTTTGTTAAGCACAGAATTGTGATACCACCACCCCTTATTTTAAAATTAAGTACGTGGTAGATACTTCTTTAATTTGCCTTTTTTTTTTTTCTTTTTTAATTGTAGTATGCTTTCAATAGTCCAACATCAAGAATGGAGCCTTGTTTGATGAGCAGTACTCCAAGGCTGCATCCCACACCAGTGACTCCTCGCTGGCCGGAGGTCCCGGCTGCGAACTCCTGCTACACGAGCCCATCCATGCACTCCACGAGATACGGAAATTCTAGTGACATGTACACCCCTTTGACTACGCGCAGGAATTCTGAATATGAGCACATGCAACACTTTCCCGGCTTTGCCTACATCAATGGGGAAGCCACCACAGGTTGGGCTAAATGAAAATGACTGGTATCAGCTAAGCCCATGTACTTAAAAGAGTTCTAAAAACTTCATGTTATGTGGGACTTTTCATGGATGTTCTTCAAGGGAGGTGAAGATGGAAAAGATCCTGGGCAGATAAAGGTAGTTCATAATGTGGGCAGATTGCAGACCAGTATGACTGAATGTTCCAGTAGCCGAAAGAATTTTGTGCTATTCTAGACCACTTTTGGGGCCAATCTGTGCCTTTTTTAATTCTGGCATGTGGGCCAACCCTGTGTGATATCAGTTTGAGTGAGCCATTTTTGCCCCCCTCTCTTATTGACAAATGTTAATGAGTCTTACAAAAAAAATTACTGGAAAGGGACCTATTTATAATTTGAATTAAAGACGGGAAATTCACCCTCAGCAAAACTCTGTCATCTGTTCTTCTTTTAAGCTCTTAATGTATTCCTTAAAAACCATTCTGCCAAGTCATCACTTGTTCCTATCAATTCCTCTCTCTGGCTCCTTAAAAGACGTGTTGTCGTAGGTTTCAGTTTACACCTAACTTTGTATATTGATGCACCTTTCTGTTGATCCAGTAAGTTTGATCTTTACAAAAGAGAAGAAAAGACATGTAGCATTGAATTATACACTGCCTTAAGTTGACTATTGTTCTTATTATATATGTATTTGTGTTAAGTTTGCACAATCTGGAAAAATCTAATTTCTCTGGTCAGTAATGACAAGGTTAAGAAGGGACTTGGGGACTGGGAAGATTTTTGAATTCAGAGCCACATATGTTAAATATGACGATATGAAGCAATTATGTAAAGAAAATGACAATGCAAACACGATTATTCCTTTAATTACCTATTCACAGGTATGAAAATGTTCTCTCAATTCCTTCACGTGGTGATAATTCTATATACTTCTACAAAAGCAAAATTCAAAGCTGTGCCTTTGAACTTATTCTGTACTGTGTATGTGTGGAAAATGTATTGTATTTTGGGGACAATTTTTCTTAGACATTTTCTGTCAGATTTGTAGCTATTTGTGAGGTTTTGTTAGATTTTATTAACATAGCTTTTTCTTCTGTATTATAAAATGCACCAAGCAATTATGGTGGACCAATTACCCTATGGGTAAGAAATAAATAAATGGAAATATGACATCAGGCATTTTAGTAATTGTTTTGTAAATAAAATCTTTGATAGCACCCAGTGTGATGATAACCATGTTTATGCCTAAAATGGACAGAAGTGTTATTTGTACAGTTGTGCAAGGTATATGAGGGATTTCCACACTCAAATAAAGTTCTTGAAATTAAATGCCATTTAAATTTACTTAAATACAGAAACTTCGACAAGCTGCAAACCTTAAAAGACCCCTAAGTGCGACCATGTATGTTTTTATCCAATGAAGGGCTTGAGAACATATATAACTGGTGGGAATTTGGGGTCTAAAGTAACTACAGGAATGAGCTGGAAATCTGCAAGGACTGAGGGAGGAAGGGTGCTCCAGGCTAGGTTTGGCAAGTGTTCTGGCTCTTAAATATTAAGCCAATGTCCTGGTGGGGTTTTTCAGAAACACAGCAGGAGCCTATCTCCGCCTTTACACATCTGATTAAAATCTTGTTTCCTGAGTTAGTGTCACAGACCTTCTGAAATTTCACCCCGTCAGCTGGTGTTACTACCCAATATACATTTACGCTTCAGTTTCATTAAGGATGGGGGAGATCAGGCTTAGGCTAACTCATCTATTTTATTCTTAAAGATACCTTCAGGCAAAATTGTCTACACGTGAAGAAGGTAAGTCATGTGAGGAAGTTATTTGAGTGGCCAGTCTTTAGCAGCTGAAGTTTTGATGTGTTTGAGACCAAAGTCCTACTTTGGTTTTTTTTATTGAAGATTTTTAAATCAAAGCATTGATTCTGGCCTATTAATTATTAACAAGCACAGAAATACCTGCCTCATCAAGACTGTGAGAAATTAGTATGAGAAAGGCAGTGTCACTAGAATAGGAAAATCCACTTTCTCTTCTCCAACGGATTCCAAATCTCAGCATTGCATCGTGTCTGCCAACAGCCCACTGTGACCCTGTTCCATCACTCGCTATCGCTGGAACACTGATCAATCTCCAGTTACCTGATGAATTGCTGACCATCACCTGCCATGGTGCCTCCAAGGACCAGACATACAGGTGAGACACTTGTGGGCAGCACTGACCAGTAACTCAAAGCTGGGTCTTTGGAAGGAGGTGAACTCCAGCACCACTCAAGGGAAGCCAGAAGCACTTCTTACATTTTTTACAACTTGTTAAACCCATTAAAGTCTAATCCCCATTGACTGATAGAGAGCAGAAAGTGAGAATATTTTAGTATACAAATGTGCCATATCCTTCAACATGTTTGGAGACAACTCATTTATCCTGAGTTGAAGAGTCCAGGGAGACTGCTGAGGAATGAGGATGGATATTGGTTACAGTGTCAGCCCCAGAAATAATAGACTTTCTGAGTGAAGAGCGAAGTGCTGGGAAAGGGAGCTTTCATGAACAGCAGCACCACAAAACTGCTTATAAAAAAGAGCCGCAGAACATCGTCAGTCAGATAGGACTGAAAGAGCAAAAAGAACCTCCAAAGTCTTTCTTCTTTTTTTTTTTTTTTTAAAATTCATTTAGAAACTTGTGTTGATGCCACAGGAGTCTGAACCTGTGCTTCCAAATACCTTTGAACTGCTTCCTGATGAGGGCTTTGAAATTTAAACTGGACATTCATGGGGAGCAATATATAGATTACCGAACACAGCTCTACAGAGGTCACCATCACCATCTGCATCAGAAGCACTGCAAGGGAAAGCAGGCTCCCTCCTCGACCATCACAGGTCAGAACCCACCGTATTAATATAAACTGCCACAGCTTTCAGGTCACAGGGGTATATACCAGGCTGTGAAGTGCAGCGGCTATTGAGAGGATGATAATCTCTGGGAAGAACGGCTGGTTAGGGGCAGGAATCTCTTAAATCATTGCAGTACAAATTGCCAAACCTCCTGAGTCAGAGCCTGCAGACTGTTAATTAAGCCCTTCCCTTGACCATGGTAACTGAAACTGCTGTTTCTTGCCTTGCCACATATTTATGTGTACGTAAAGTAAATATGTGACAACACACTACACAAATCTTTCTGAACAAGCTTTTATACCACATGCCAAAATATTCAGTCTCATTTTCACTTTCTTTTTCTTTTTTCTTTTACTTCTTTTTCTTTCTTCTTCTTTTTATTTTTCTTCTTCTTTTTCTTTCTCTTCTTTTTCTTTCTTTTTCTCTTTCTTGCTCACTTTCTGTCTTTCTTCGCACAACATTTTGTTAAAAGCATGATCTTTTTCATAGGTCCTAACATATAACCAAGAATAGATATATGTAATACGTACAATACAACATATTGTAATAGTATATATTATAGCATAACTAACATGACATATATAGTATTTTAAATAGATGCCTACACATACACAAACATATATGTATGTAAGCATATAAAAATCCATTACAATTCTTCAAGATTTTTCATTACCAGGTAGAAAAAAGACTCAGCGGGGGAAGAGCAGTGAGAACTGCATTCACGAGCATGAATCCTGTTTTTGTCAGGATACCTCTTGCTGCTAAGGTCGCTACCCTTTGACAAAAATGGCCTCTGACCTCCCCAGCCCCACAATTCTGTTGTGACTGACCCTGAAACCCATGAAATTCAGGGGCAGACATTACTTTGGAAGGTTTAGATAAAGCTGACTAACATGGGAAGGGCTCATGGTATGCACCCATCTGAAAAGGTCTGGCAGTTCTTTGGTAGAGGATGCAATTTATTCTGTCCCCTTCTTTCATTGAAATCCTAATCCTTCATATGCTACCTAAAGTGGAAACTAAAATGCACTGATGATGAATAACAATATGCCCTTTAAAAGCCAGTAACAGTACTCTCATCTTCTTTTTTTAGGGTTTTTTTAAATTAAAAAAAAAAATAATTGGCAATGTATAAGTAAAATGCATGTTTTGTTGTGCTGTGAAGTAAATCTAAGCAGGCTTATGCTTTATGATAGAATTGTAAATCAAACAACCAAAGGATTATTTTTACTGGATTTCTTTCCAAAGCTGCATTAGTGTACACATGCACCTTACTCAGAAGAAATGGTTACGCACTTTGGGCTGGATTTTGTTACTCCTTGCAGTCCAATGACTGTGTTGTTCTGGTTTTGTAGCTCAGTTCAATCTGTTGTGGCAAGAAACCTTTAACCAGAAAATTCCGATCCTAGTTTGGGTCTGCATCTTAAACACACGCAGGCGTACACCAACACATCTCAGCACCTTCAGCGCCCTTTGGAGCCACTGTCCATCTGCAGATGAAACCTCCCTGCCCCTGTGGTATTTTCTGCCACGGAGCCGATTGTGAGATAAAAGGTTTCTCTTCATGACCACGGAGTGCCTCCTGAAGGAATTAATACTTCAAGGAGAGACCGACCGCAGCTCCCACTGGATTTTTATTGCCATGGGGTTTTTTTTTTGTTAACTTCGATATATCATTTCCTGCGATCTGGACAATGAATTTTGATCGCAGGGCACCCTCAGTATGGAAATGCTGCAGATCTTCTCAGTGTGTTTTGAACGTACAGTCTTACAGAGCTCTTCAGTGACACAGTTCACCTTTGCTCTACCATTGCGGGCTCTGGCCCGGTGGTGCCGGTGCAGCCCACCCTCACAAACAGAACACGGCGGCGGCATGGCACTGGCACCTCTCCTCTGAACTGCCCTGGTTGCTCACACCCACACCAACACCTTCCAAAAAAATAGATATGTATCAGCTCCTCTGTGAATGGATAGGCAGGCAGCTGGGGGAAGGCAGCCGTGCTGCCCCTCAGAGGGGGAGGGGAGTCTGTCCTCATAGAATCATAGGATCATTTAGGTTGCAAAAGGCCTTTAAGATTGTCGAGTCCAACCATCAACCTAACACTGCCAAAACCACCACTAAACCACGTCCCTGAGCCCCACATCTATGTGTCTTTTAAATACCTCCAGGGATGGCAATTCCACCACTTCCCTGGGCAGCCTGTTCCAATGCTTGGCAACACTTTCTGTGAAGAAACTTTTCCCAATATCCATCCTAAACCTACCCTGGCGTAACTTGAGGCTGTTTCCTCTTGTCCTATCACTTGTTACCTGGGAGGTACCTGGGAGGAGAGACCGACCCCCACCTATCTACGACCTCCTTTCAGGTAGTTGTAGAGAGCGATAAGGTCTCCCCTCAGCCCCCTTTTCTCCAGGCTGAACAACCCCAGCTCCCTCAGCCTCTCCTCATAGGACTTGTTCTCCAGACCCCTCACCAGCTTCGGTGCCCTTCTCTGGACACGCTCCAGCACCTCAATGTCCCTCCTCTAGTGAGGGAACACCGTATTTGAGGTGGGGCCTCACCAGTGCCGAGTATGGGGGTACTTCAAATAGAAATGGAGAATTTTCGTACACCCCCACTGCTCTGGTGGGTTGGACTTGACAAAAAGGGCTCTGTTTTGCTGCCAGGCAAAGGAGGGCAGTTGTCGGGGTGTGCTTCGTGCCACTGAGGAACCCGAGGGCTCTCTCCAGGCCGGTGCGGCCTCTG